GTTTATCCAAGGTTATCTGGCAGTGGAGATTCATATAATCCAGTTTAAGGTCGATAATCCGAGATCAGATCCTGGGATATAGGGCAGTATGGAAGGGGCCTTATGGGCCTTCCAGACAGGCCCTATATTCCAGGATCTGAACCCAGGTTTTCTGTTTATCCCAGATTATCTGGCAGTGGGGACTCATATAATCCAGTTTAATGCAGAAAACCTGGGATCAGATACTGGGATATAGGGCCCGTCTGGGTCTTAAGTGATCAATCCACTTGTGGATTTGGGGAGGAGGGTAGTGAGAATAGTGTTCAGCACTTTGGATAGTTCAATTTTAGCTTGCATTAAAGCCCAGTATGGATGCACTGCTACCAACCTCCAGTGTTTTACTGATGTACCAGTCTACTGCCATTTCCCATTGTAGAATTGACCTGGCAAATATTGACTGGATAATTGTCAAATTGTTCAGTCTGGGTCAAGGTCATCTACGTCACACCTGAATAACCTGTGGTCCACCAATGAAATTGCAAAAGTACTTGTGTGCTGTGCAGAACACTGAAAACAAAACAAAACATAAACAGCTGGGATGGTTTTAAACTGCTCAAGCAGGAATTACAGTCAAACTCACTTTAGCTTTCACAAAATCCAAATTCTTTAGGCAGGGGAAACAGCCCTTTTCAAATAACCGATGCTATTAATTCTATTTAGATCTATTTAACTAGATAACTCATACCCAGTTTTATTCCATACATACACACAGGCATACACACTGTGTATGCGTGTACACACAAATGAAACTGGATGTGCATGCATACACATATGCTGTCTTTCTTGCTATTGTAAGTGTGGAACTAGAACCTTCATACACATATATAAATATGTACTCACATACAGGGCTGGCCCTGTATTAGGCAAAGTGAGGTGGCCTCCGCAGTCACCTAACATTGGATACCATGAAATGGAAATAAATAATTACTGGTTATTGTATTTGCCAGGGTGAGGTGCTTGTGAAATGTTCAAATTGCTAAAATAACTTAGCTAGTTGTGGGTGCCACACATATTAATGGGAGGGATGAGTGTGCACTTGCTACTCCATTTCAGATAGCAAAATGTTTGAGCTCACCCTAGCCAAGCATATCTTTATGAATTGGCCATCTGCAAGGTAGTTGCCCAGGGACAGTCAGATGTTTAACATTCTGTGGGAGTCTTCTCGCATGTCTCCACATGAGAACCTGGAGCTGACAGATGGGAGCTCACCCCCTGGATTTGAACCACCGACCTTTCGGTCAGCAGTCCAGCTGGCACAAGGGTTCAACTCATTGTGTCACTGGGGACTCCATGCATGTGAGTGAATGATTACTAAAACATGTTGGGTTTGCATTACCTGATACTCTTGGTGTTGACAATAAACCAGGTCAATTCACCTCAAAGTTGGGATGTCACCCTAGGACCCTTTCCACACAGCTGAATAAAATCCCATATTATCTGCTTTGAACTGGAATATATGGCAGTGTGGACTCAGATAACCCAGTTCAAAGCAGATATTGTGGGATTTTCTGCATCGATATTCTGGATTATATGGATGTCTGGAAGGGCCCTTGGTTTCCTCTGGAAACTGTGTTATATATTGACCAAAACAAAGAATAAAACCCACACATGGATGAAATAGGAAGAAATATAAAGAAAATAGGGAGTGGAAAGGACTACAGAGGCACCGAACAAACAAATGAAAAAGGAGGCAATAAAACTGTCTACACTAAAAGGGATTGAAAAGACTGGGATTATTGATCTTTGAAGAAAGATGTGTAAGAGGAGATGTGATGTGGATCTACAAAAGATGAATGGGATCAAAAAGATTGGTCAGGAAACCTCCTTCACTCCTTTATACTACAATCAGAATGGTACAGACAGTGAGTCCAAAAAACAAGCAATTATGAACAGATACTAACACTAAGCTATATTATCCAATTCACAGAACAGCAGAATTGTTCAATATTGGGAAAGACATACGGCAGGGCTGTATATTCTCACCCCACCCCACAACTTGTATGCAAAACACATCATGTGACATGCAGGGCTCGATTAATCCAAGGCTGGAGTTTAAATGGTTGGAAGAAACATTTACAATCTTACATATGCAGATGATATCACTTTGATGGCAGAAAATGAGGAGGGGCTGAGGAGATGAAAGAAGAGAGTGCAAAAGCTGGGTTGCAGTTAAACATAAAAAAACCCAAGATGATGGCAGCCAAACTGGCAAATAGAGAGTGAAAACAAGGAGGCAGTGACAGACTTTGTATTTCTAGACATAAAGATTACTGCAGACGCAGACTGCAGCCAGGAAATCAGAAGACGTTTACTTCTTGGGAGGAGAGCAATGTCTAATCTCAATCAAATAGTGAAGAGTAGAGACATCTCACTGGCAACGAAGATCCACATAGTTAAAGCAATGGTATTCCCTGTAGTAACCTATGGATGTGAGAGGTGGACCATAAGGAAGGCTGAGTGAAGGAAGAGAGATGCGTTTGAACTATGGTGTTGGAGGAAAATTCTGAGAGTGCCTTTGACAGCAAGAAGATCCAACCAGTCCATACTCCAGGAAATAAAGCCCGATTGCTCACTGGAGGGAAGGATGTTAGAGCAAATATGAAGTACTTTGGCCGCACAATGAGAAGACAGGAAAGCTTGGAGAAGAGAATGATGCTGGGGAAAATGGAAGGAAAAAGGAAGAGAGGCCAACCACAAGGGTGAGATAGATGGATGGTATCCTTGAAGTGACTGGCTTGACCTTGAAGGAACTGGGGGTGGCCACAGCCGACAGGGAACTCTGTCATGGGTCAGAGGTCATGAAGAGTTAGAAGCGAATGAATGAATAAACAACAAATATTATCCAGTGCTTCCAAAACATCACTGGCGTACTGATGTTTGCTGGGAATAAAAATGAAATTCATTGTTGAAGTAAAGGTCTTATTTAGTGTCTGTTTCTTAGTAGTCTTAATGCTTTGGTTCAACAAGGCTGCTGTTGTATTTCTGTAAAGAGTCAATGTGTTTTAGTTGTGCAAATATTGGACTATGACCCTGGAGATCAGAGTTCAAACCCCTACTTGGGCATGGAAACCCACTGGGTGAGCTTGCTGTGAGTTTTCCGTGCTGTATGACCATATTCCAGAAGCATTCACTCCTGGCGTTTCGCCCACATCTATGGCAGCATCCTCAGAGGTTGAGGGGTCTGTTGGAAACTAGGCAAGTGGTGTTTATATATCTGTGGAATGTCCAGGGTGGGAGAAAGAACTCTTGTCGGCTTGAGGCAAATGTGAATGTTGCAATTGGAGAGGCCCTCTCGGTCCCACCCCCTTTGCAGATGCAATTGGCGGGAATGACGGGCAAACTGGAGCAGAAACCGGCGCTGCCCCTGAGGCAGAAATCTCGCCACAACAAGCCACTTTTTCGCGGATTAAAAACAGAGGGAGAGACTCAGAAAAGCCAAATCCCCCGCTTCGCGCATAGGTCGCCGTAGTATTTCTAAGGGCTTGGCGGGAGCGACCATTGGCGGAGCGAGGAAGGGAAGGGCCAATCCCGCGCTCCCAGCGCCGCCGACGCCTGTTACTACCCTCCTAACTTTCTTCCACTGGTTTCAAACCCAGGAACGGAATTGGGTTGGGGGAGAAAGAGGGGGAGGGGGAGGAGGGAGAGGGAGGAGAGGACATGCCTTGAGAGACCCCCCTCCCCCCAAGCCAGGGAGAGGTCCCCTCGGGGCTTCGTTGCCCCACTGCTTGGCCTCGGAATAGGATTTTAGGAAGGGGCAAAGGGAGAAGGAGCGTGCGTCGCAGCCCCTCCCCCGTTGCTAAAAATAGCAAGGAGGATGGGTGTTTGTTGTGATTCATTTTCTAAATGTATCCTTAGCTTCCATATAGAATCATAGAGTTGGAAGAGACCTCATGGGCCATCCAGTCCAACCCCATTCTGCCAAGAAGCAGGAAAATTGCATTCAAAGCACTCCCGACAGAAGGCCATCCAGCCTCTGTTTAAAAGCTTCCACCACACTCCGTAGCAGAGAGTTCCACTGCTGAATGGCTCTCACAGTCATGAAGTTCTTCCTAATGTTCAGATGTAATCTCCTTTCTTGTACTTTGAAGCTATCCTAGTCTCCAGGGCAGCAGAAAACAAGCTTGCTCCCTCCTCCCTATGACTTCCCCTCACATACATGGCTATCATGTCTCCTCTGTCTTCTCTTCTAAGCATGCCCTGCTCTTTGAGCCGCTCCTCATAGGGCTTGTTCTCCAGACCCTTGATCATTTTAGTCACCCTCCTCTGGACACATTCCAGCTTGTCAATCTCTCTCTTCAATTGTGGTGCCCAGAATGGGACACAATATGATTCCAGGTGTGGTCTAACCAAGGCAGAATAGAGGGGTAGCATGACTTCCCTCTTTGAAGGAGCTGGGGGTGGTGACGGCTGACAGGGAGCTCTGGTCACGAAGAGTCAGAAACGACTGAACGAATGAGGAGCATGACTTCTCTGCATGATTTACCCAGACACACGTAAAATCCCCCCCTCTGGGTGCTTGCAAATGTACCCTTAGCTTCCACTTACACAAACACACGTAAAATCCCCCATTTCCATAGTCCAATCCCTGAGGAAGACATCTGCCCCCCTCCCCCGCCATACAGAAGCGGGAGAGTTGTAGGTCACTCTACTACTAGTGTATACAATCCCAAGCCACGCCCCAACCTCCTAAGCCACGCCCCTCCCCTTCTCTCCCAGCCCCCTCCCCTTCCAGCTCCCTCCCTTCCCCGCAGGCCCCTCCCGCCAAGCCCGCCCTCTGCTCACCAAGCTGGGTTGCCGCGCAGGAAAAGATGATGTCATTCTCCCAACGAGCACGTGACTCCCCCCTCCCCGGAGACCGCCCTCTTTTCGCATTGCTCGGAAGGTGCCGTCCGTCAACGGCGGCGGAGCCAGCCATTGGCCCAGCCTGCCTCCAGCCCCGCCCACTAGAAAATAATAAACAATCTGCTGTAGTAGAATGCAGTCAAGAGATGTCCGGCTCGGCGGAGGCAGAGGGAGAGCCTGCTGCAGGTAGTCGTGCTCCCCACACTTCAGGGTCTCGCCACCCCTCAAAACTCCCACGCTCACATTACATTGAGTCTCCAGGATAATGGGCATTGCTGTTGGCTCTGGCTTTCGCCCACTTTGCAAAGGGGGGGGGGAGCCTTGTGGAGGCATCCCTGCCTTGGAGTGGGTCAAGGCTGCGAGTGAAATGGTCAGTGTGTGGGAATTAGGAAAAGGGGAGGGCAAGAAAAGGGCCAGGGGTTCAAGCGTGGGTCACACTGGGCGTGCGCATGGCCACACAACGAGGAGCCCATGGAGTTTCTAAGCGCTGGAGGGGAGAAAGAGGAACAGGCTTAGCACAAAGGACAGCAGGGAACAAACATGGCCCTCGCTTGGCTCTCTAGGTCAGGAAAGGGGCGCAAGGGAGAACGAGCAGGCTTTGGAGAATGGGAGGAAATGGTGGCCACGGCTTCCACAATGAACACGACCACTGTGAGGTCTGATCATGTTGGTGAAGACCTTCTAGAGCAGTGTTTCTCAACCTTCCTAATGCCATGACCCCTTAATACAGCTCCTCATGTTGTGGTGACCCCTGAGCATAACATTATTTTCAGGTTAATGTGTTGTCCAAGGCTTTCATGGCTGGAATCATTGGGTTGTTGTAGGTTTTTCAGGCTCTATGGCCATGTTCTAGAAGCATTTTCTCCTGACGTTTTGCTTTCATATATGGACATAGCCCTCACAACCATTGAGGATGCCTGCCATAGATGCAGGCAAAATGTCAGGAGAGAATGCTTCTAGAACAGTGCTTCTCAACCTGGGGTCCCCAGATGTTTTTGGCTTACAGCTCCCAGCCAGTTTACCAGCTGTTAGGATTTCTGGGAGTTGAAGGCCAAAACATCTGGGGAAACCACAGGTCGAGAAGCACTGTTCTAGAACATGGCAATATAGCCTGAAAAACCTGTAACAACCCAACTATTTTCAAGTTGTTGTAGGTTTTTCAGGCTGTATGGTCATGTTCTAGAAGCATTCTAGAATATGTTCTGGAATGTTTCTAGAACATGGCCATACAGCCCAAAAAACCTACAACAACCCAGTAATTTTGGCCATGAAAGCCTTGGACAAAATTATTTTCATTGCTACTTCATAACTGTAATTTTGCTACTGTTATGAATCATTATGTAAACATCTGATATGCAGGATTTATTTTCATTCACTGCACCAAATCTGGCACAAAAACCCGATACACCCAAATTTGAATACTGGTGGGGTTGAGGCAGGTATTGATTTTGTTATTTGGGAGTTGTGGTTGCTGGGATTTATAGTTAACCTACAATCAAAGAGCATTCTGAACTCCACCAATGATGGAACTAAGCCAAAATTGGCACACAGAACTCCCATACACAGAAAATACTGGAATGGTTTGGTGGGCATTGACCTTGAGTTTTGGAGTTGTAGTTCACCTGCAGAGCACTGTGGACTCAAACAATGATGGATCTGGACCAAACTTGGCATGAATACTCAATATACCCAAATGTGAGCATTGGTGGAGTTTGGGGGAAATAGTCCTTGACATTTGGGGGCTGTAGTTCCTGGGATTTATAATCCACCTGCAATCAAAGAGGATTCTGAACCCAACCAATGATAGAATTGGGCCAAACTTCCCACACAGAACCCCCATGACCAACAGAAAATATGGTGCTTTCTGATGGTCTTTGGTGACACCACCTTTGACCCCCCCCCAGGGGTCCTGACCCCCAGGTTGAGAAATGTTGATCTAGAAGTTGTTGCCTAAAATAATAATATGGCAATAATGTAATTTTTATTGTGTCAGAAGCAACTTGAGAATGTACTGCAAGTCTCTTCTGGTGTTAGAGAATCGGTTGTCTTCAGAGACGTTGCAAGCTAGAGCTGACACACAGGAGCTCACCCCATCTAGCAGATTTCAACCGGCAACCCAATCTTCAGGTCAGCAGTCCAGTTGGCACAACGGTTTAACCCAATGGTTCTCAACCTGTGGGTCCCCAGACATTTTGGCCTTCAATTCCCAGAAACCCTAACAGCTGGTAAACTGGCTGGGATTTCTGGGAATTTTAGGCCAAAACACCTGGGGACCCACAGGTTGAGAACCACTGGTTTAACCCATTGCACCACATCAGCTCCTACAATAATGATAATGATAGTAATGGTATTCATGGACTCTCTGGTAGAAGTTTCTGACCAGGAATATCTGGAGGTCATCACAAGTCACCCACCTTCAACAATCTTAAATCAGTGAGACATACATGCCAGTGGCAGGCAAGATTTGTGTATATAGCCTGTCCTCAGATTATAAACATCTGACTTACAAATGACTCATAGTTAAGAACGGGACCACAGAAAATGAGAGAAATCTCCCCCTCAGAAGGAAAATTCACTCTTGGAAGAGTTATTATCATGGGGAAAAGGTGTCTCCACTGAAGCTTTCTCACCAGTCCTTATTTCTACAACAAGCTGATTTTTTCAAAATCCAATTCTCACAAGGACAGAAAGTGAGGTGAAATCTTCTGAACAGGGGCATGGGCAACAAAATAAACCCCACTGGGTTGTTAACCTTTATGCTACCTAGAGCTAAACAAATATTTTGGTTGGAGCTATACTTTTAAGATGTACCTGTTCTGACAAATTGCATACAAATTCAACTAAAGAACAAACCTACAAAACCTAGAGTAGAGTCTCGCTTATCCAACCTTTGCTTATCCAACTCAGTCTGTCTTCCGCCTGGATCTACAGATGAGGGAAGTGGAGTGTGGACAGGCCCGTAGCCAGGATTTTGATTCGGGGGGGGGGGGAGTTTTTTTCAGGGGGGGGGGTTCGGGGGGGCTGAGTTTTGGGGGGGGGGCTGAGTCTGAGTGAAAGAGGGTCTACCCTAACAAAATCTTTGTATCATTACCCCAATACCCCCATGCATATGGGATATATTGAGTATGGTGATCAGATCATGATATGAATAAACATAACAGTTTAAATAATGCACCAGTAAGGCCTTTTCGTGAACCACCATGAGAATTTCGGGGGGGGGGGGCTGAAGCCCCTCAAGCCCCCCCCCCCCCCCCCCCCCGGCTACATGCCTGCCTGTGGAATAATGTCCAGGATAGGAGAAAGAAAAACCTTGTCTGTTTTGGTGTTAAATTTGTAAATACAATAATTGCTACATAATGTTAGTGCATTGAACTTTTTCTGTCAATTTATTGTAAAACATGATGCTTTGGTGCTTACTTTGTAAATTCATAATGTAATTTGATATTTAATAGGCTTTTCATTAATCCCTCCTTATTATCCAACATTTTTGCTTATCCAACTTCCGCCGGCCCATTTATGTTGGATAAGTGAGACTCTACTGTATCTTGTTCATAACTTGGGGGCTGCCTGTATTCAGTTTTCTCACAGGACTTTAAGATACTGTAAAGAAATGTTTTGCATAAGCTTGTTTTTAATGAATGCTCAGAGCCCATAGTTTGTCCTGTAGTCACAATGGCACTGATGAGAGATTTTATGTCGGAGCTATGAAATCTAGTTTCAGGTGCTGTCCTTGTCCAGTTTGACAGACTGGCTTTAAAAAATTAAGCACTGAAACTAAAGATAAGCAATTTTTGTACTCCCCCTTGTTGATGGCTGCATTACTTTGACTGTAACGTGACCACATCTACACTCGCCATTTAATGCTATTCTAAGCTAGTCCCTAGTGGCGCAGTGGGTTAAACTGCTGAGCTGCTGAACTTTCTGACCAAATGGTTGGCAGTTCAAATCTGGGGAGCGGGGTGAGCTCCCAATGTTAACCCCGGCTTCTGCCAACCTAGCAGTTTGAAAACATGCAAGTGTGAGTAGATCAATTGGTACCACTTCTGCAGGAAGGTAATAGCACTCCATGTAGTCATACTGACCACATGACCTTGGAGGTGTTTACGGACAATGCCAGCTCTTTGGCTTAGAAATGGAGATGAGCACCAACCCTCAGAGTCAGGCATGAATGGACAATGTTGGGGAAACCTTTACCTTTACTTTAAGCTAGCTTCAAACTGCAGCAGCCACAAAAAAAACCTTACAAAAACATGTGAAAGAAAGCCCTTAATATGCATCTGTGCTCTGTGGTTTGTGTCATCACCATCCAGGCCTCAAATTGGTTCCAGGGCTTCAGATCTGCAGTGCACAGTAAAACCACATTCTTCAATACCGATTTAAAATGGTATTAAATGATCAGTGTAGATGGTCTCTGTGTGTATTCTGCCAGTGCTGAAAATGACTACCTCTCCCAAAACATACCCAGCAGATTTCTGAAGTGGTAAAAATTGCTCTTGCCAAAGATGTAAACAGGTTGTTTGCAGGAAGCTTCTGAAAATAGGCTAAGGATCATAATGTAACCATCATGGTCTTAGTCCGTGAGGCTTTAAGTCCCATCTTCTTCATTCGTCTGAGCCTATATGTAGTTTAAATCCCCCTTGATGGCATTGCTGTTTGTGCATCCACTGGTGGTGACTCTATAGAAAAGGCCTTTCCAGCGAGTGCAGCCTCACTGTGACTTGAATGGCTTTCAGGTGCCAAAGGCAACTTCCCTCTATAGAGTTCTGGAATGCATTCAGTATTTCTGTTGCTTCCTGATTATCAGTGCTATTATAACACTGGTGTCTATTGGCTTTAATTACTGTATTATTGATTTATTTTTCATTATTGCTATACACTTCTTCTTTCTTTCTTTTTTTTTTTGTGGTAGCAGCCTTGTAGATCTGCAGATTACAACATGAATGTAAATATTTTCAATGTGTCCGAAGCGTTCTTCATACTTTGTTTCTACTGTTTAAACATGAGGTAAATAGAGAATAGATACATGTTATACCAAAGTACATTCTAGATACAAAGTGCTTTAAGCTTCACTTAAAAAACCAGTTGTGTCTGTTTAATCAAAGTCACGGCCCCTAATTGCAGAGGCAGCTTTTGCTGACTAAATGTGTATATGAATGAAATTGCATTGCCTCACACACTGAGAATTG